ATAGATATATTTATCAATATTCATGTTCGAAGGATAGTGCAGATGAGTACAGTTGTGTAGAAAAGATCTTCTCTATACGTTCATTTTTTTACTATGGTTTTCGGGAAGCTTAATTGAAGAAAATATGGAGATACTATAATGTATTATAATAAGTAACAGCAATGAATTTTAAGTAATAAAAACGAACTAACACTACAGTGAAGCGCCAAAGAGGATACAAACAAGTTGAATTATACCAATTAATAATTGATTTGATAATTAAGGATAACAATAATACTAAGCACAAGTTACTGTTTACATAACTCAATTGATAGAATCTTTTACCCTGCACAATACAATAAGAATAGTGTTTAGAGAACCATGACCATAGGCTCATACAAGATTCATATGAGCAGAGTTCTATGGCACTAATAATAAATGACGGCCGATGATTTCAGAAGTAATTAAACCAAATAAGTTAAGCATAGAGTCTGATGCGTGATCAATCTTTTCTATTATTATATTAAATGGTCTGGTCACATGAACTTTATTCATGAAAGTCGCCTTAAACATATAGAACAAGATTGACTATGTTTCACAATCTTTTTGTACAGGAATTACAGTCGAAAACATGACATGTTTCAACGTTCCAAAAACAAAATCTTTATTCAACAGCGGTGAAATAATAGAAACTAGCAACTAATTAAATAATACAAGTGATCAATGTGAATTATAGAAGACTAGTCCCCGTTATATTCCGAAGCTTCCATTATTCACAAGAGATTATCACTACTTAATAATATATAGTTTGTTGAACAAAAAAATTTAATATTGTGTCATGAAGCATATCAGAACAAGGCCAAGTAAAGTGAAAATTGTAATGTAGGAGTAGTTGTAGTACATTTGATATGGCATTAGATTGTTGAAAATGGGTAACTAAATAAAAAGATGAGGTGATGAAAAACAAGGTGACAATTCGTTTTAGTTACTCAGAGGAAGGTCGCGACAATGTACATTGTTATATCGACCTGTCGGCATTTTTTTTCATGAATAGAAACTTTTACAGGCATGATACATATGTTTGAAACTTATCGAATTGTTGTTGTTGATATATCTGAATTTATTTCTTCAAAAAGCCTTAAACATACCCTTGGAAAAGTAAGAATTTTGCAAGAGAAAATAAAACTATTTTTGGTGCTAGAAATCATATTGAATTTCATGACAACTGTTAGAAATCAGATAATTCACTTCTTTAGTTTTTTTTTTTATTGAGAGTATAGGTATGGGTGTGAGAGTAACTGCGAATTAGAAGAAGACAAACATCCACACTCAAAATTCTAGATGTCTACTAGCGTATCGATTTTAGTCATAAAAAAACTGATCTAAGAAAAAAAATTTCTTAGACAAGACATAAGCACTGTTGACAATGATGAGTCACTTGTTTTTTTTCGTAACTTGATCCAATTGGAGACGATAGTTTCTAATATTAATCGTATGCACATATATTCAAATTAGTTTGCCTCCGATATATTATACTGAGACATAAAAATAAATTATCATAAAAATAGTTAATCTACCGTGTAAAATAATTTCGATGTAATTAACTATTGATGTATCTCAACCATGCATTGTTGGCTTTCTACAAAAAAAACAAGAACTTCTTTAAAGAGTAGCGAACAATAGAAAGCAAAAATATCTTGATAATTTATTTTAATATTTTTGGAATTGATATAAGAGGTATAATTACGTTCTAATTAAGAATTAATCCTGATTAAGTATATATTTTCATTTCAAGGATTAAAAAGATAGATGTATTATAATGGAAAAAGAATTACTACTTTTTTAGTTAAATTATAAATGCCACTATAGAAAAATAATAAAACTAAATTCAATCTATGCAACAAGGCCTTGATTTTCATCGAACAGAATTTATAATTATAAAATCTGCTGTCAAATTTTGATTCTATACATTCACAAAGGCCATCCTCATTTTTCTTTACAACATTACAATAACATATGATGTTAATCTTTACGTTTGAATCAAGCATAAACAATGTGTTTTTTAATTCTCTTTTGAAATACAAAGAAATTAGTGACTATGTTGAACAGTGTCATTATTTTGACTGATTTTCGAAATAGATCGTACTGCTTCCGACCTCTGCTCAGCAATTATATGACATTCGATTAACAATCGATCTATTTTATTTATCATTCTAACAAGCACTGAAATACTGTAGACTTTATTATTTTTCTTCCAATTCGGAATCATTTCTTGTTGGTTGCCAAAAGATAAATTATGATAGACGAGGGAAAAAACAACACCTCTAGAAAAAAAGGGAAGAAAAAAGAAAGAGGAAGGTAACTAAATAGAAATAGTCTTGATTCATGAGTCATCATAAAACATTTGAATAAATGATTCATTGATTACGAAAAAGAAACAGTAACACACATTCACTCACTCAGAAGAAGGATTTCATCCACCTAGAATGAGTCATAAAATATATTCGATCGAAGTTTGCACTTACTCATTTACAAACTATGTTTTTCAATAACAATAATATGTCACAACTACTATCACATGAACTATGTCTTTCAACAACATCATATTCTAATATTGGAATATCAGAAATATTACCATTTCTTTATCTTGGCTGTCAAGAAGATGCTATGGCAATAAAAACAATGCAGGTAAATCCTATTTATCTTCAGTTTTATTCTATATTAATATAATTTTAATACTTAGAATAATCACATAACACATGTTATTAATGTGAGTAGAACAGGAGACAGAGCTTCATTTCTTAATGAAAATGATGATGAACATTTCTTACGAATACCAATTAATGATTGTCTTAATGCACAATTATTACCTTATTTTGAGAAAACTTATATATTTATTGGTAAATACATACATAAATATCATCTAAAAATGGATTGTTTTTTGACTTTTTTTGTTTCTATTTTAGAAAAAGTTCGACTTAATAATGGACGTGTTCTAATCCATTGTTTAGCTGGCATTAGTCGTTCACCGGCTGTTGCAATTGCATATGTCATACGTCATTTACATTTATCTGCTGATGATGCTTATCAATATGTAAAACAACGTCGATCACAAATATCACCAAATTTTAATTTTTTAGGTCAGTTATATGAATATGAACGTAATCTATCATTAACATCGAAACCAGCATCAAATATTACTTGTCCAATAGTTAAGTGTTGCACAATTGAAACATCTTTCAATGATCGTCGTCGTTTTATACAAGTGGAAGGTTCTGCCAATACAGATAATTCCATTGAACCTCGAACTAATATTTTATCACGTCCAACATGTCTTAATGTTGATTTAATTAATACATCACAATCACAAAGATTTTTATCATCATCACCATCATCATCTACTATGACAAATCTAGTAGTAGAATCATCTCAAGAACCAAGTTTATTAACAAAGAAAATATTACGTCCAAATAGTATTTCGATAAAACATTCGACCTTAACAGTCAAATGTTCAACATCAGACTTAATCAATACAAATTGTGATGGACTAACTAATACTGAACGACTTGAAACAATATCGAAAACTACTGACAAATCGCCATTAATTGAACAAACTGATTTGATCAATACATATTTTCAAGAATCAACATTATTATCAAAATCATTACAACAATGGACATCTTCACAATCACTTGATACAACTTGTGAGACAACCACACCAACAAATGTATTAAGTTCAAGTCCTGAATTACTTGTTTCATAATAAGATTTTTATTCGTCTAATTTTGACGAGTAGCAAGCTATTCGTTTTTGTTACGTTTCCGGTGTATTTTCATATAAGTCTAATAATATCTGCTTTCTTTGTTTATTGCAATGTGATATTGCTAGGTTTTTTTTATCTCATAATGTGATATTGTGCAACATATGTAGGTATTTGCATATTGTTGTAATGCACACAAATAAAAATTTATTTTTAACGTCATTCATGCATCTAAAATAGACTCTCTAACGAGGGAACATTCCCAAGTGATTCATACCGTTTGACTTCATATTATGCCCATAGGTAGGGCTCATAGTGTAGGTAAATACTCTAAAGGGGTTCGTGCTATTGTGCCTTTCTTCTCGAGTTATGACCATTTTACTGAATTTTCAGCCTATCGCAACGTATTAAGAAAAAAATCTCAAAAAGTAATATCCGCTTGGGAATTTTTCCAAAAACAGATCTCATAGTCCTTATTATATCCTGAAAGTTTTAACTCAAACGAATAGTTCTCCTACGAAACAATGCATCCCCAAAAAACTACTACTTTCTCACAAAATCTCCGAAAATAGCTTATTTTTAATATACTCCATATCTTTAGAAAAACTGATTCGTTTAGGAAGAAACTTTCGGGATATAATAAGGACTGTAAGATCTATTATTGAAAAAATTCCCAAGCAGATATTACTTCTTGAGATTTTTTTCTTAATACGTCGTGATAGGCTGAAAATTCAGTAAAATGATCATAACTCGAGAAGAAAGGCATAATGGCACGAACTTCTTTAGAGTATTTACCTACATTATGAGCCTTACCTATGGGCATAATATGAAGGCAAACGGTACGAATCACTTGGGACTGTTCCCTCGTAAGAGATTATATAAAAAACTTCTGTTATGCTAACTTTAATGTACATCATCGTACGTTCTTACTCATACATTGTCTGTAAAAAAAAATCACTTCACAGAATAAACACAAATGTTCACTAACATTTGAAATTTGGAAATGTTGCTGCTGATTTATTTAAGTGATCATTTTTCTGTTAACAACTTTCTAGCCGCATTTTCTAAAAGTAGACTTCTTATAGTAATATTTGTGTTTTCGTACAAGAGACACATATTCGTTATGTAAACAATTGTTTCATTGCTTTCTTTGAACCTTTGTTGTTTATCATATATTTGTTCGAATGCTTTAGTTGGTAATTTTTACTAAATAATCTAAAAAAAAAAATGAGCGCGTTTTTCTATCAAACATATTTCATCTATGCAGACTGAAATCAATTCTACGTCAAAAGCTATATCTGATGGGAACCATGATAGTTATGTTCTTCCGATAGAATCTGGAAAAGGCATAGCATTAACAATGAATTTTCCACAACATCATTCATCTATGTCAAAAATGGCAATAACGGAAGACAATCCAATCCAAGATCAAATTTCAAATGAACATTCACATAGTAATCATATTACAACTGATCCTTATGGTTGTCTCGATTGTATATCAACAATGTTTGGACCAAATTATGCACCATTTGCTGCATTCAGTATATTACCTAATCAAAGTTTTCTGTATTTTTCTTTCTTTTTTTAACTGATCACTTTTTTTAATATTCAGTGCATCAATTTTCTGAATTTGCACAAACCCAAAAGACGATTGCTATGAAACAAAATGATTTAATTGAAAATTTTCTTTCTTATCATCAACAACAAAATTCAAAAAAGCCTACACTAAATGAACAAGAACTTCAACATGTTTTTACCTATGGTACATGGTCAAATGGAAAAGTAAAATAACTGAAGAATTTTTTAAATCTTTTTTTTTTCATATAGCGTCTTTTTCTATCTAATGTTCAATTAGTAAGATATTCTTATTATCACAAAAAAATATATAAATGTATCAATTTATTTTTGTATAGTTTATGACAAATCGATGGTGTTTGGTATTGACTTTTATCTGTACAACAATTTTTTTGCTAGTGCGTAAGTAATTAATTATTTTTTCCTTACATTTATATTAATCATTAGTATTATTACTTATGATACAGTTAGTTGGTATTACTCTTATAATCTTAAGTATTTATTTGGCAACAATTCGCGATGTTACAGATCCTGTTCTGGCATTTATTCGTGCTTATAGTCGAATTTATGGAGATGAATTTCAATACTTTAAAGTATGAATCTTTTCTTTGTCTTTATTGAAATTTGTTACAGACGTTTTTTTTTCCAATTTACTTGATTCAAGATAATTCTTGTTTTAATTGCTGTTGGTGTTTTATATATCATAGCCGTAATAGCTTATTTTGCTGGTTTAATTGGTCATTCAACAATAGTAACAATGATTGTAAATATATCTATGATGATATTCTAATTTTTAATATAAATCTCTTATAGGCATTAATATTTAATTTACTTGGATTATTGAGTTCAATAATTCTTGTGTGTATAGTTTTATTTATGGGTGATAGAGTTAGTTAATAGTTTAAATTCTCACACGTTATTATTCATTTATTTGCTGTTTTTTTTTTATTACAATAGATGAAACCGAATTTCTCACTTCTACTTGCACTAAATGTAGAAAATTTTGAAAGTGATACTTCAACTAATTCACTTTCATATTCATGGACATTAATGCATAAAAAAGTGAAGTTTAATAGCTGATTAATAACCTTCTTTTTGAGATGCTTCTTGGTATAGTACCATTGTTGTGTTGATGGTGTTTTACAAACTGGTCTAACTGTAGCACAGAAGAGTTCAATTTTCGCATCACTTCATCCTGGTTGGTTAATACCAGCATCGTGTTGTTTTAAGGGTATAAAAGATTAAAAAAAAACACATATTCTCTGAAATCAATTTGACATGTTTTTATAGATGAGACAATATGTGTTCGAGCACCCACAGTAAATAACTCGTTTATTAATGTGAGTGATAATCTTTTTTCTTATCAATACTTTGATATTTGATGCTCTTTGAAGTCTTCTTGCATTGAGCCTGCCTCGAAGCATTTCAATCAACTTCTTTCAACATTCAATTTTATTCTTCTACCAATTATATTTATTGCTGTATGTTTGATTTTTCTTTAAAAGAAAACAACAAACTTCATTATTTTAGTATTCTATCTTAGATGATTAGTAATATATGTGGAATAATTTATTCAATGAATTTAAAAACTGCTATTCATAGAATGAATTTAAATAATAATGAATTAGTTAAAAGTTTGTTTGCTCTTAAATCAAGACAATTAGCTGGTATTCATAGTGATATGAAAAAAAACCCGATAGAAGAATTTCAACAAAGAAAAGATGATCAAAATAAAAGTAAAAAGCAACATTTACATATTCCTGGTTATTTTCCAATAACACCAACTATTTTACAAGTACGACAACCAGAACAAAATACATATCTTCATTATGGATTATAAATCATAAGATTTGTAACATAATATATCTCTAAAATAAAAAGCACATGTTAAAATAATCTTCGAAGTTCATTCCTGCTTGTACTAAAAGATATTAATATTCAATATTTTTCTAACCTAGCATCCGATTGTGATCTATTGAAAATATAGAATTTCGTATAAGATTTAGTTTTCTCAAAATAGAAAGTTATCTTTGAAAAAAAAAATATAGAACTTTTTACACATTGTTATTAATGGTATATTCAATTTACATAACTTCTACTGTACCTCTCTAGTGAAAGCTACAGTATTGTAGAACTGATAGAGAGAACCATGAGTTTAGACATTTGGTTTTTTTTTTAAGCATGTATTCAAAGATGTAGTATTAGAACTAACTATAGAAATCTAATATTATATGTTAATTTCTTGAAATTTTTGACATCATCTTAGCGTAGTTATCGGTATTTTTTTCAGATTTTATTCATAATAGTTTGTCTTTTGAACTGGAAGAAAACAATAACTGCTGTCGTATATGTCATACTTCAATATTTAATAACATTTTGTGTAGATTGTGATTAATCAGTAGAAATTATATGAAACATAATGGACAAATTTCTGACAATTTTCCTAATTTTTAAGAAAAAAAATATATATAATATGAGAATTAACCAAAATATTGGACTACATGAAGGATTTATACACAACATACGATGAATGCAACGCCAGTTTTCAGCATAATAAATCAATTAAAAAAAATTCTCTATATTTAATTTTATGGTTTTTCATCAACCATATAGACAATATGGTTGCGCCTACGTTTGTGATACAATAGATTTGTGCGGTTGAACACCGTCTATATATGGTTGAATAACTTGCTTCTTATTAACTAATATAGCTATTTTATATTAATTACTTAAAAAAAAATATATGAATTTGATACATAACGAGTTTCATATAATAGCAAGTTGATCTTTATTAGTTGTCAGTAGGATCTCTACGGAATTCAAGTGTCAGATACGACAGAAGTACTTATATTATAAATAAAAAGGTTGCTATAACCTCTCTATGAATTCATGAGTTGCTGCATACTCTCAATATGAAATGTTTTGATGAAAATATGCAAATCGTAATGTCATAACGAATGGAATGAGAAAATTGATTGAGAGTTATTGTGGTTCTTCTACATCCTCTTTCAAGTTCGTCATTACAAACCGGAATAAACACAAACGTCTACTATGATCAAAAAAGAAAGTTTCATTTCCTTATTGGTGTATTCAATACTTATTGAGAAATAAATCATTGCATAGAAAACTTCCTGAATATTGATTTGTTTTTTTTTTTCTCTTGACATATTAGAAAACAAAATTTCATCAATTTTACTTCATGTTTTTTTTCGTTAAGTAATAGAAAAATAAAAATACACGAATAATCTCTATTTCGAAACAATTTTTTCTGCTAATTGACATGTATCAATGTATTGTTGTACATAATCTTTAATTGATTGTCGTTTATATTGCATTATATATCTTGGATGTGAAACTTTAAGAATTTTTTCAAAAAAATGATATTTTTCATTTAATTTATGTAATATTGAATAATTAGTTCCTTCACCAAGACATATGGCTACTTTTTTTGAACATCCAAGATTAATTTGTTTTTCAATATTATCTGGTATAAAATCTTCAAGTAAATTATTCATTAAAGTTTTATTATCATAATAATTCATATTTCGTCCATTAGATTCAAGACCAAGTGGACAAACAGCACCAATAAAAAATTTTTTATAAAAATCATTCATAGAATATTGATTAAAGAAATAATCATAAATAAATTTTGATGATAATTCTGGTTTTAAAGGAAAATTTGAATCAATATTACAAGCTGTTTTTAATCGTATTGGATCTGTTAATGGGACACCTAGAGCAATAAAAGTATTAACACCCTGTAGAGTTGTCAATCCATCAGAATCTCATAAATAATATGTGTTGAGAGTTATTAATGATGAAAAAAATAACTTTCTCAAACCACAGAAGCAATCATTCATCTTTTAAATGAACGTTTTGTTCCCGATGGCTTTCTCCAAAATTAATAAAGTCATTTTCATTTCCATTTTCATCCATCAATACTATTGAATATTTTAGTCAATTTATCAAAAATAACTAAATATGTAATTTTAGATGTGTATAATTAATTATTTCGATACAAATGATAAAATATAACGTTCTCGGATTCGATGATTACATAGTTGATGGATTCGATTACAAAAAGCAACGCCTTCTTATAGGCACATTGTTCAATAATAGTTCATATTTTGTCTGAGAAACACAATAGTTTTATAAATACCTGTAATACCACTACCAAATCGACCAGGATTAATACCAAGTACTAGAATACGTTCATTTGTATCTGAATAATATTTTGAAAAGAATTCTTCCATACACCGACATGTTTCAAGATTTTTCAGAGGATATAACCATTGAGTATTTTTTCCTGGTAATTTAATATCTATTGGAGGTTCTAATTGATGTAAATAAGCTAAGATACGCTTATTCATTGTTTCCATATTTGATTGAAAATATTTTGATTTTATTTCCATTCTATATCTTTTCTTTGGAAAATAACTCTACAAAATGACTTGTTTAAACATAACTTATTAGATGTCGCACATAGACAAAATATAAAACAAGATGTACTTGTAAAAAGTTTTGACAATCTTTTAAATATTTAAAATATTAGAATAAATTATCAAGGGACTTAAATAGATATTCATTACAAGTACTTAACAATAATTCTATTGGTGAATTACCAAAACAAAGAAGAGAATAGGAAAAAGAAGGAGAAACATTTATATTATTTTCTTTTCTTCTCTCTTTTTTCTTCTTATAGTCCATTGTTTGATGAGTCATTGATCACTGTCAAAAAAATAATAAAAAAATCGTTGTTATTCTTTGGAAAATTTGATTATTAGATTTTCTAGATATATCTCAAATGGCATTAACACCAGTTGTTAAAGTAGTTGATTTGTATGTATATTTATTTCTATCTTAATTCAATTAAAAACAAGAAAAAGAAAATTCTTTTCTTGTTCTGAAATAGATATCGTCATGAATTGTTGGATAATGGTTTTGGTGTGCAATGGATGGACGACAATGATGAAAATAGTTCAACGAATTCAAAACATTCAGTTATTTCAGTTCGATCTGTATATAATAATCATAATACACGTCTTCCTGCACATATATGGAGATCACTTGCTAAGGTAAAATTAAATTGAATTTCAATTGATTAAAAGAAAAAAAAAATTTTTCTTCATATCAAAAGGTCATACCCGGTGATGTTGTTATGGAATTAAACGGTGTAAGCACTATGGGTCAAACAGTTGCTGAATGTAAAGTTTTATTTAATGAATTTTTTTACTTTTTGAAATTTATTTATTTAAATTGTAGTTGAAAAAAATTTAAAATTATCCGGTAATCGAATTCGTATACGATTAAAATCAGGTAAATATTTGCTCTTTTTTCTTTGTCCAATTTTGAATAAATAATATTTTTGTTTTCTTTTTTTTTTTTTTTTTGGAAATTTTGTTTAGTTACTTTGGGTAAGTGTTATTTTGTGCATGCTGGTAGTTAAATATAGTAACATATATCTGTGCTTTGGTCATTTATGTCTGTATAAGAAATCGAATAAGTAGCTTTTCGTATTTTAGTGGAATATTGAGATTCGTACTTTTTTTTTAAAAATTATTAGATTATAAATGATCAAAATATGATGTGAATTCATGTATTTAATCTTACACTACTGTTACTATTTTGGTCACAATAGAAAAACTAGATTATAAAACATACCTATGCTTTTATTTAAATGCATTTGTCCGGGTAGCATTCAATTACAGAAAAAGTGTTCGATTTCACCATTCACATCTACTTTTGATGCTTCTATTTGTTTTTCTATGTGTATATGCTCATCAAGAGTATAATCGATGTTCTTTTCTTTCTCTTATTCTTTTTCTTTCTGGCCATAACAAGCATACTTGTATGTTCGCTGGATTTTTATATCCGTAGGTCGATTATCATCATCTAATTGGATAAAAATTCGGAGGAATTAGACATAGAACAAGAGAAAGAGAATATAAGAAAAATAAAGAATGCATGTAAAGATATGTTTACTTGTCAGGTATTACTATCACTAGCAATAGCAATTGATAGTAGGTCTGTTTTTCGAGCACTTGTTGTATCGACAAACATATATTGGTATTACACAATATCTTTAACGGATCTTATATTTTATGTTTTTTTTCCTCAATCATTGGATTTCACATGTGAATACGAACAGCTGTAACTTGTCTATAGTAATAGAATAATTGTTTCAACAGTGCGGAAAAAAAAAACATAAAGTACCGATGATACGTTGTCAACAAAATCAACAACAA